TTCTCTCTGTCTCTGTCTCTCTCTCTCTTTCTTTCTTTCTTGCCTCTCTCTCCTTTTCTCTTCTTCCCCTCTCCCTCCTCTATCTCTAGTTCTTCCATCTGCTCTCTCCCCCTTCCCCTTCTTTCTCTTTCTACCCCCCTCCCTTCCCGAGCCTCTCTCTGTCCACCTCTCTCCTTCTCTCTCTCCTTCTCTCTCTCTCTCTCTCTCTTTCTCTCTCTCTCTCTGAATACAGAAAACCTCGCTTAAGAAGTCAATAAAAAAAAAAGTCACAACCGAGGATACCCTTGAGGATTGTTTATTATGTTTACAGGTATTATCGATTTGTATGTGCTCATAATTATTATGTTTTCGTTCACACCGGAGGCGAGCGAGAAATAGTAAAAGGTTTGTTGACACGAACGAGCAGAAATAGATCACGAACAGCGTATATGCATAAATAGACGAGGGAATGAGAAGACACAGACAAAACATTGACGAGCATCGTCGTGAATATCTAAGAGAATATAGATTACATGAAAATGTCACAGACAGGTACGTAAAGATAGCAATAATATAGGAATGCGAGTCATGTACGAGCTGGATAAGCTACAGACTACGAAGAATGCCGAAAGTAGGTAAATAGATGCATAAAATAATGTATAATATAAGAGAGAAAAATGATAGGTAGACTTTAAGTACTTCTTATTAAAAAGAGAAAATGGCAGAATTTCTAATCAAAGACAATGACGAATAGAATAATCCTGTAGTAAGGTTTACGCACTATTGCTTACGACAAAAACTTGTTTCAAATAAGTCCTCGAAACCTGGTAAGGAATAAATATTAGTTAACCTGAAGCTATTGGGCCCTCAATTCGGTGCTTTCTTGACCTTGAACCAAATCGTGGGTCTCCACTCTCAGTGAGGCCACGTTTACGAGGGCGTGATGTCATGCACGAAAGCACCCTTTTAAATTATTTTAAGAATGGGGAGTGGGGTCGCTAGAAATTTACTTTTAGCGAGTATATTAATTGATGGTATTTCCCGTATCTTTAATCGAACATACGAAATGCAGAAGCTGCAAAACAATGATTGTCTGTCATGCAGGATGCATAGCAGAAAAGCATAATATTTGCTTCAAATGTCTGTTCGTGACATCATATTATTACTTCTAAACCAGTTTACAGCAAAGGAATTAATTTTGACTAGAAAATTCCATTAGTTAAATTAGATTTGATGAAACTAATAACACTTCGGCAGGTTATATTATTATATCGCCATATAAAACAATACCCACAGGCACACCGACAGTCACACGCACACACATTATACTATAGCAGCTCATCCACGATTCGCTTCCATTTACCCACAGCATAATTAATGCCGGAGGTTGGCGCGTACTTTTGTGTGGTTTGCTTCTCCTTTTCTATCAAACATCTGTCATCCTGATCTCTCTTCCTCCTATTTTGTGTTTGTTACTCTCTTAGTAACACATCTAAACCTCGGGACGTATATCACTTTATTGTGTTGCAAGTCGCTACCTCAGAATTACAAAGTTTCATCTGCTCAGCATCTAGTTTTGAGAAATTGGACGTAAACATTTATTTTAAGTTTCACAATATGCTAAGCTGTTTCGAATGAAATTCTTCGAAAATCTTGATAACCACTCTGAATATTCTCTACACTTTGATAGAGCAGATTGAGCATTTAATTTGCTTTCTGAGTTCGTAGTAACTAAAACTCAAAAAACTTCATATAGAACTTTGTGATTCGGAGGTAACGAGGTATTGTAAATCCTTACTTAAAAACGATAGCATAATTGATGAGGTACCTGTTAGGGGAGACGACATATCCCCAGGAGACTCGCGCGCCCTCTGTCGGGACCTGGACGCTGTCCTTGAGCCAAACGAGCGCGCGCCTGGGGTTGCCCAGCATGGAGGCGTTACAGAAGAGACTGACGTCATCACCGCTGCTCACGAACTGGGAGCCTGTGATGGTGATTTCTGGAAAAAAGGGGGAAGGAGG